ATTGGGTGGTTTGTGTAAATGCTTCCTTACTTTATGACTAAGAGTCATAGTTACTTACTCCCGCCGTTTACCGCGCTTGCTTGAATTTCTTCACGTTGACATCCAGAGCACTGGGCAGAAATCACATTGTGTCAACACCCGCAAGGGCCATCTCAATGCTTTGTTTTAATTAGACAGTCGGATTCCCCCGGTCCGTGCTAGTTCTGAGCTGACCATTGAATGGCGGCCGAAGAGGACACCAGAACGCCCTTGCGAGCGCACTCTGGGCCTCGCAGCCACGTGAGCGAACCGCGCACGCGTTTTTCGCCTTACCGAGTAAGTAAGGAAACGATGACAGTAGTGGTATTTCACCGGCGATGTTGCCATCTCCCCCACTTATGCTACACCTTCATGTCTCCTTACAGTGCCAGACTAGAGTCAAGCTCAACAGGGTCTTCTTTCCCGCTAATTTTTCCAAGCCCGTTCCCTTGGCAGTGGTAGATAGTGGTAGGGACAGTGGGAATCTCGTTAATCCATTCATGCGCGTCACTAATTAGATGACGAGGCATTTGGCTATGTAAAATATTTATTTATATAATAAATACATGTACCCTTGGTGTAGGGGGTTGGTCATACAAAGTATTCGTCTTACTAATTCGAGGCCTTAGAGTAAAAGTGGCTGCGCGCCATATTATAAATTAGAATTAACAGTAATAGTGTAAATTAAGATAGATGATACACTATAAGAATTAGGTGGTAAATATAAGGTAAAAATAAATTACATTCACATACAAATACACACATAGTTGTAAAGTGACATCACAATGTATATCATGTAAATATAAGATAAGGATAAAAATAAAATACATTCACATACAAATACACACTTAGTTGTAAAGGGACAATCACAATGTATATAAACATGTAAATGTATATGACGCTCAGTACAGATGGACGGTACTGACAATAAGGACATAATGGTAAATGAGCTAAACAAGTGAACAGTGAACAATGCCGATATTAAAACAATGGATAAAATAATAAATATATAAATAGTTAAAATACCGCAAGGGCAGGATATAATGAATAAAAGGCATCGCAAGCAAGCATGAGTACTCCATCGCAGCCGCGTCCGCGACTATCGCCTGGCGGGCGCAGGACGCCGTCGCCACACCCGTCTACCGAAGGCCGAGTGGATGGTACCACCCCATTTGAGCACCGAATGGACGCAGGAGCGTCGCAAGGGAGCACCGATGTCTAGCGTGGACGAGGTCTCACCGTTACATCGTGGCCAAATTCCACGCGCACCGAGGATTATGGGCAGGACTGAAATGGTCTTTCCAGGCCATAATCCCCGGGCAGCGTCGTGGAACTTGGGGTTGTCATACACTGCCTTCTTGTTGGTGTACGTTTGGGCGAGAGGGATGTTCCCCTCCCAGTTGACCCCCACGTCCACCACAACGACCTGTTCCCCCTTCATGACAGCTATGTCAGGTTTGAAGAGGGTTCCGTCGCCGTGGCGGACGTACGGCTCCTCCAGGGTGGTCCAACCCTTCGCCCGGCAGTGTTTTGCAACCTTCTTGGCAACCTCGTTGTGACGCTTGATCCTTTCCCAGTGGGTACTGGGGCACTGCTGGAGAACGTGGCAGATCGACTCCACGCGTGAGCATCCAGCCCTACACATTTTGTTTTCCGCGGTGGCATACATGCCAGCTGTAGGGAGGTTGTTATTCCTTAGCTGGACAGCCCTTACGAAGTCCCTGCCGGTCCAGCCTCTGGGTTTTTCCTGAAGCCAGGAGCGACTAGCCGAATCATCGGTGGCATTCTCCATACCCGCTAGGGTAGGAGAAGCTATTAGTCGCTCCCGCCAAAGCTGTACCGCAGGAACCTCGCCAGTGAGCTGCTCCAGCCTGTGCATTAGCTCACGCGTGCAGTCACTCTGCAACGCCGCCGACAGCGCACGGTCATCATTGACTTCGTTATCAGTTTAATTAGTCGATTCAGGAAAACACGAGGAATGTTAGTTTCAGCTGCTGTACCCCAAGCCCGCCATCGCGTATCGCTGCGTAAAGGGCAGCGTCAGGAGTGTGCTCCGCAAGGTGGAGCACAGACTTGACGCAGCCCTTCACCAGACGATCCACTGACCTCAAGGTGGCCGCCGTCACCTTGGGGTTTTGCAGGCCATAGAATAGCTTAGGGATAATGTGATTTTTGAGGATTGCGAACTTCTGGTCCGGCTTAAGAGGGATCTCTTAAGATTGGCCAGCCAGGTCGGTAGATTAGCGAGGGAAGGGCGCATTAGTCCTTTGACGGACGCTTCATGGCCAAGATAACGGAAGCTGTTGACCTCCGTCACCATGGCCACGCGGCGTCCATCAATCGTAAGTTTGTAATCTTTCCTAGGCGCCAGGACACCCCTCGCCAATCCCACGACCATGGCTGAGCACTTTTTAGGGTTTAGTGCCATGCCTTGGACTTCGCGAACTCAACAATCTCATCGAGGACCAGAGGGATATTCTCCTCCTGATCCTCGAGCAAGACTATGTCGTCCGCAAACGCCATGGCAGACACCCTCACCCCAGGCAATATTGTTCCGCCTCGCTCCCCATTATTAAGCCCGGCCAGAAGCTCATCAATCACTAGATTGAAAAGTAGCGGACTCAGCGGATCCCCTTGCTTTACACCGCAGCTAAACCCAATGTCCCTCGTCGTTTCCTGCCCCACCCGAATCTGTGTCACAGAGGTTGCCAAGTTTGTCGCAACGTAACGTATGGAACGCTCGTCCACCCCAAACCGTCTGAGAGCTCCCACAACGCTCCCATGTCCAACAGTGTCAAAGGCCTTCCGCAAATCGAGTGAAGCGACCGCGTACTCTTTATTGGAGGACACCCTATTCCGAATGTATGAGTGTAAAATCATACAATTCGCGAGAGTGCCGTCCAGCGTACTAAATCCGCGTTGATTGGCTTCCAGGGCGACGACCTTCCGCAAGCGGTTAGCCATCGCCCTGTGCATCAGTCGCTGGAGGGCACTCCCGATAGTAAGGGGCCTCCAATTCGCCGCCTCGCTCCGTTGGCCGTCTTTATATATAATTGTGGTCCTAGACCGCAGGAAGATGGCAGGGTGCACGTTTCTCATAAGGATTATTGAATATAAAACACATAGCACCCTGTTGTTCGTATTTTTAACCGATGCCACCGTTATCCCGTCAGCACCAGGTGCTGAGTTAGCCCATGCTGTTTTGGCTGCCTCTAGTTCGCTTTCTTCGAATGGAGCGAAAGTGGTGGCATCGGTGTTTCGTGGTTCGGGATGAACCGTCATCGTCTCCGTCGCAGCCCGCTCGAAGATCCCGCTATACAGCTCCTCAACCGCTTTTAGAGGTGGTACCTCTTCAGTAGAGTCTAGTGGAGTTCCTGAAATGATTTTATCCACTAGAGCTGATCTGTTACGGAGGTAGAGATCCTGGGCCTTTTTGTATGATTCTACCCGTGGACCTCTTCCTGGTCTAGTACCTCCGTAATTTATTTTGGTCCACCTCTGTGACCATTTGGGTTGTATTTCCTTCCCCCTTTTTGGAAATGTATTATCCAATTGTCTAGATAGGAGGCAAGATCATTAACCGCAAGCGATGATCCTGCCTGGCACAGGTCCGCCAGATGGCCGTTCCCATTGGCCAGCGCTGCTTCGCGTTCAGACGCGAGGTATTCGCGCAGCGCTGGTTCAATGACCACCTGGGTTTGTTCGACCTGTGCGGGGGAGTTGGCGGTGAGGTTGACTGCTCGGTGCGGGGTCTCCTTACTGTAGGCTGCGACAGAGGCGACATCGATTCATTCCGAATCCTCTTCCTGCTTGTCATCGGATCTGGAGTGATTGGCGATAGTGCGGACGCAACCGCGGAGGAGCACTCACCCCTTTTACATCGTCGCGAGCTGTTGGTGGCGTCGATGTCGCTGCCTGATGGTCGATCTTCTCGTTCGTTGGGCAGGTGGGCGGCTCACAGGGCACACTGGGAGAAGGGATTGGTTGCTGTTTCTTCCTAGCGGCATCGAGGTATTGCTTATAGATGGGTTTATCCCTTCGATGCCGTATTTGGTCCTTCGTCAGACCTGATTCGGCAACCATTTTCGCCATAAAGGGGCCTTTATGTGACTGGATCTCGATGTTTGCCAGTATATAGATTTTTCGGAATCAGGCCTTCGTAGTTCCCTCCTCCTGCTGTCGTTTTCTGCTTCGGGGTGTGCCCTCTCTCGTGAAGCCGCACCCCTGTGTATGTAGTAAAACCTGCTTTGCAATTGGCATTTAGTTCGATCGCGCTTGCCACATGTTAGGAGATGTTTGTTGAGGCCACTTTTGTCTCATAGGGCCTCTCGCATATTTGACACCTGTATGGTGCTGCATTGGCAGGCTGCAGGGTCACCGTATTACTGGGCCCTGGTATTGGAGAAACGGTATTCGAGCCTGCCAATTTGGTTCCGGTGGCTGTTGGGCCACCGGCAGTCGATTTCCACCCACCCGCTGGAGGGGATTTAACTGGTTCTTCCCTCATTTATATCGAATTTCCTCTTGCGGGTGGGGTGACGTGACGTTATGTCACGTTCTGACTCCCTCTGCCGCAACAGCGGTTTTAATAGTTTCCTCCTGGAATCCGCCATTGCGCATGAGCCGCTGTTGTTGAGTGTCTTTGGGTAGATTAAAGGTACTATCCTTTCCGCGTATGGCAGTGAAAACCGTTTGCCGCTACTAAGTCTGGTTCCGGAGATATCGTGTATGAAAGATTTTA